CGGGGTTTGGGGTTTGGGGCGCTGACGTTTTTGGGGCGGGGGCAGGAGACGGCGTTCGCGATGCTGGCCGAGGTCACCGAGCGCGCGCTGGCGCTGACGCGGGCGCAGCACCTGCTGCTCGTGGGGGGCGTGGCCTGTGAGTGGGCGGGGTCATGCCGGGGGTGGGGCAGGAGATTTTGGGACCCCGATTTTGGGTGGGAGGAGCCAAATCTGTAGGGCAGGGAGCCACACCCAAAGGGCGGGGTCACCTGTGAGGGGCGTGGCCATAGCAGGAGGACAGGGAGCCACACCCAAAGGGCGGGGTCACCTGTGAGGGGCGTGGCCATAGCAGGAGGGCAGGGAGCCACACCCAAAGGGCGGGGTCACAGCTGTGAGGGGCGTGGCCATAGCAGGAGGGCAGGGAGCCACACCCAAAGGGCGGGGTCACACCTGTGAGGGGTGTGGCCATAGCGGGAGGGCAGGGACAAGGGGGCGGGGCTGAGCTCCCTATCAAGAGGGGTGGGACTCTCCATTTGCATGGCAGGGGAGGAGCCAGGGGCCAGCCCCGCCCTCAGCCCCACCCACCACACCTGTGTGCGCAGGTAACCGCCGGCTGCAGGAGATGCTGCAGACAATGTGCAGGGCCCGGGGGGCTGAGCTGTGCCCCACAGACGAGAGGTGAGGGCGGGGCCTGCCTCAGGGGTGGGGCACACCTGTGGGACACACCTGTGGGACACACCTGTGGGACACACCTGTGGGACACACCTGTGGGACACGCCCGTGACCTTCGACCCCTGGCCTTTGCCCCCAGGTACTGCATCGACAACGGCGCCATGATCGCCCAGGCCGGGTGGGAGATGCTGAGAGTGGGGCAGGTGACGGAGCTCAGCCAATCAGGGATCACGCAGAGGTCAGGGGGCGTGGCCGTACGGCTGGGGCGGGGTGGGGACCGTCTGAGCTCTGACCTTTGACCTCTGGCTGTGCACAGGTACCGGACGGATGAGGTAGAGGTGACCTGGAGGGACTGAGGTGACCACGCCCCAAATGGCCGTACCCTTTTAATAAAATACACCCCACCCCTCCCATCTGGCCACGCCTCTTTATGTGTGGATGATGCCATTCAATTGGTGACCCCGCCCATCTAGAGAGGACCAATCAGCTTCTGACGCTGCTTGTCAGTCACCCAGGGAACTCTGCCCTCTCACTGTCAATCAGCTGGTGCAAGCCACGCCCCTTTTGTTTGGTTACATCAACGCCCCCTGTCAATCAACAGCTTCAATCCCCGCCCTTTGCATTGGGTTACATCAGTGCCCTCTCTGTCAATCAACCATGAGCGACGCCCACTCGTGTTGCGTAACCGGAGCTCTCTCCTGCATGAGTGGCAGCCCAGCGGCCAATAGGATCGGAGGGCGGTAAAGCGGTGGCCAGTAGGAGCGCGGGGGGGGCGTGGCTTTGCTGATGGGGGCTGGCGGGCGAAGGCGGGATCGGTTCAGTCTGTGACGGGCCGGCGAACGAATCGGATGGCAGGGGAGAGGTAGCGGGGGAGAAATGGCGACTGTGGGGGAAGGAGGCTGTGTGCGTTTGCGTGTGTGCGTGAGCGTGTGTGTGTTTGTGTCGCGACATGGCTCCCGCTCGCGATCCCGACCCGCGTTCCCCCCGTCGCCGCCAGCCGCGGGCGCTCGGGGTTTTAGCGGTGTCGCAGAGCAGCGACGGCTCCTTCTTCACCCGACGGAGCAGAGGAGGCTTCGGGGCTCCACCGGATTTTGGGGGGTCGCACAAATGTTTCGGGAGGGGCCGCGGGGACTCCGGGCCGGTCCGGGGAGGTTCTCGGGGGGGCTCCCGCCGTCCCCTTTCGGTCCCGGTCTGACTCCGTTTCTCTTCCCTCAGGCGGAGCCGCCGGCGGGAATCTGCTTCAGGAGGATCTCCGCTGTATTCTTTCCTTCCTTTTCTGCTGTTTTTTTTTTGTTGTTGTTTTTTTTTTTAATCGTATTTGCTTAACCTGAAAATTCTTTACCTCATTTTCCCTCACGATTTGCCCTCCCCACCACGTGTCTCCCCATGCTCCCCTGAAGGTCAGTTTGAAAGTAATTCCTTATGTTATAATACATATTTTTAGGCCGATTTAATGTTTTTATCAATTTGTAACTTTTGGTAGGATTTCTTACCTTTTTTACCCTTTTTGGAATGTTTTTTTCCCTCAGGAAGGAGCCGCTTGCCGGAAACGGCGCCCCGCGGATTTCGGTGCTGTAAAACTACAATTTCAGATCTTTAATTTCCGTTTTTAAGATTAGTTTTCCGCTTCAAAGAACTGTTCCTGCATTTTCAATTAGTATTTTGGGTTTTTTTTAAGAGTTTTTGGAGACTTTTTTGCGGAATTCGAGGCGATTTAGCCTCAGAGTTCCACCCTCAGGATTTGGACCCTCCCCACGTGTTTTGCCTCCTCTTTAACGTTACCTAAATCAGAATATACATTAAAATGAAAAACCACAAAACTTTTTTCGCGAGATTTACCTCCTAATTATTTTTTATCGATTTTACTTTTTTTGGCCCATTTTTCCTCCGTCTTTCCCTGAGGCGCTGCCCGCGCCGGGAAAACCGCGCCACCAAAATGTCCAATTCTTATCCCTTTATTTTCTATTTTTATTTTTCCATTTCCCAGATTCCACCGCTGTTAGTGGGGGGGATTTGGGCTTCAACTCTTTATTTTCTATTTTGCCGGGGTTTTTTTTTCCCAGATAAATTGTTGTCCTGATGTTATGAATATGTTTCTTTTATGGATCGCTGGAGTAAATCCTGCTTCGCTGTGGAATTAACCGCGGGTTTGGCGAGGGGAAGCGCAAGGGTTTTATTTAAATAGTTTGTTTTATTTAATTTAAGAGTTTTATTGAAATAAAAACCCGCGAGGGATTCTCTCGGTGCCGGTTCGAACCGCCCTCAGGGCAGGAGGGGCGGGGCCAAGGGACGGCGGGAAAATTGGGGGCGGGGCCAAAGGACGGCGGGAAAGTGGGGGGCGGGGTCTTCCCGAAAAAGGAAACTGGGGGCGGGGCAAAGCCATCAGAGGCACTGAGGGGGCGGGGCGCGCCCGCGGCCATTAAGGGTCCTGAGGGCGGAGCGGCCCGGTCGCCATTTTGAGTGTGGCGCCGCAGCCAATGGCGGCGCGGGCGGCCGGAACAGGCGGGAGGAAGGGCCGGAAGTGGGCGCGGCCCCGCGCTGTCATGGCGG